CTGCCTTGCCTTCTCAGAGCCACCAGAAGGTGGAAGAGAAGAGTCAAGGAAGGATTCTCTCCTGCAGCCTTCAGAGCGAACATGGCCCTGCTGACACCTTGTTTTTGGATTTCCGGCCTCTAGAACATTGAAAAAAAAGAATTCTCTGTTTTAAGCCACTAAGTTTGTGCTACATTAGTACCAGCTAATACAGACTGGTACTATTATTCCCATTTACAACCATATAGCTGGGTCTGCTGCTGTGGAACACATTTGTTATAATAGCCACTGGGTCCTAAGAAAATGGTAACCTTGAGTTGATTTTTCCTTTCAGGGAATTTATGACCTAAGTACATTCTTTTCTACCTTGTTGGACCCAAACATAATTACTGCCCATTTAGTGAAGTGAAAAGGCTGGAGAGAAATTACAGAATTCCCAAAAGTCTGTGTGGAAATTATTCTGTGAGGAGGGGAATGGCCCACTATGCCCTTCACTGGTACTAAGCTGAGTGACATTCACTGCACAGCCGCACCAACAACTCGGAAGACATGGATGTGGCTGTACCCCCACTCTCCCGGAGTTGGGGGCCTGCCTGATGCCAGCCTGTGCTTCAGCAGGCCGATCTCCTGGCCTTTCACTTCTGTCTGGCGTTGTGTCCACCATTTTAACTCCCTTTACAAATTAGTCTTGGTCTCCTCAGCTCATGTGAGGGATCCGCGGTGAATGACAAGAAAGTTAGTGCTAACCATGTCCCATTTCCATAACAACTCTCTAAAAATATGTTGAATTTATAAAGTATTTGTGGATCTAAAAGCACTTGGGTGTAGCTTTAAGGTTAAAGCACTGACCTTAGATTCACAGACCTGGCCTGGAACCCTAACTCAGCCATTTGGTAGCTGGGATGGACAGGGGTCTTAAAGCAACTTACTCACTGCCAGGGTATCAGGGTCCTCACCCACGAAAGTGAGTCTCACTTCATGGGGGGGGGGGGGCTGTGAGGATTAAAAGAGAATATAAAGGGCTTGTCATGGTTAGGGTTAGGGTTTGGAAGTATTGAGAGAGAGCTATAGTTATTGTTCAAAGTCTTAACATTTCACCACAGTTTTGACTTTCTTTTGCTGCTTTTCCCCACCCCAGGTTCTAAGGCTTTCCCCGTTTCTTAAAATTTAGGTGGACAAAATGTGGACACTGTAGGGTTAATTTTAGCCTCTCTTATGAACTATTGATTAAATGTTTCCTTGTGGTCTAAAATTAGCATTTAATTTGAATACTTGCCCTACTGCTGTTTTATTTTTTCTGCTTGGGAAATGTCAAGTGGGATGGGTGTGAAATACTCCTGACCAGGGTTATTGAACATGTGAGAGTTTTAATGAGAGCAGTTTTAAAAAAACAGCAACAAAAAACAAGCATATGGGATCATTGAATTATTGATGATGTTTTTGCTGCTGTGAACTTATCAATAATATATGTTTAAAGGGTTATTTCCTTTACATTTCTTTAGGGACAACTAAAGAGTATTTTTGTTTGAGTTTAAAGAGAACTGACAGTTGGAGAAAGGTCAACACAATGTTCATTCATGCAGTTTCTATGCCCAAATCCCCTGAAACTTCAAATAAGAAATGTTTTATATAACCACACTAAATAGTCGCCCTTATTTTTAGAGCAGAATAAGGCAATAGATTTAACTGAGCAAGGGCGTGGGGGTGGGGAGGCTTGACATAATATTAAAGACAGAAGTTTTGTATTAAACAGTATCACTTTTTTTTCTTAGAAAGCCTCCAAATTGAAGTTAGCTTCTGTGAACAAAAACAAGAAATGTACCCAACAGTTATTCTCTGAAGCCTATCAATTTCTTGACACACTAGGTGTTTAGAATATGTTATTCTAAAAAAGAGTGACACAGAGTGATGGGGCACAGATATTGGGAAAATACTGAAACCAGGTGTGATTCCTTTCCACCCAGAGTTGCCCTCCATGGGTCTGGGACTGCCCAGGAATTATAGGTCATGTTTTGTTTGATATGCATATGGGTGTGGGGGAGAGGGATAAGATCCATTGTTTTCATGAGATTTGTGAGCTTGAAAAAAATTAAGATCCACTGCTTCTTCCTTTTTCCTTTTGGAAGTGGCAAAGAGGGATGAGGAGGTCAAAGGCAGTGGTGGGGGCTGAGGGGAAGCGTTAAAGGAGGAAGGGAGAAACTGAAGCTCTTCTGATGCTGATGAACTTCTCACCTCCTTTCAACCGTGAGTAGCACTGGTTCAACAATACCCTAAAAAACTGATCACCAGAATATGAATGTGAAACAGTATCCAGCATCATTAGGAAAAGAAAGTATTTAAATCTTTTGTTTCTTGAATTACATTTTCATTGTTATTTTTGAAAGTGTGCTTATTTGTATATTTGGTTTTAACTTCTAGCTGCAATTTTCAGAAAGGGTTTGAAGCAGGATATAAACCTATAATTCAATTCTAATGATGAGGGGATAGTTTAAATGTTTTCATTGAGCCCTGGCCGGTTTGGCTCAGCAGTTGGAGCATGGGCCTGTGGTTCGGTTCCCGCTAGGGGCACGTACCAAAAGAAAAAAGAAAAAAGAGCCCTGGCCAGTGTGGCTAAGATGGTTGAGCACTGTCCCATGCACCAAGAGGTCACAGGTTCGATTCCTGGTCAGGGCACATGTCCAGGTTGTGGGCTCAATCAGAGACAGCTGATTGATGTTTCTCCTCCCTTCCTCTCTCTTTAAAATCAATAAAAAAATATTTTTTTTTAAAAAAGAAATGTTTTCATTGAATGAGATAATGTATTTTCTTTACTAGCATTTAAAATATATTCTTTCTTTAATTTCAGGCCCTGACTGTTACTTGTGTTACCTATTTGTGGTGGTAAGAGAGTGAGTGAACATTACATGAAAAGTTGGGTAGGGAGAGATTAAATTATTTATGTTACTTAATTTAGTCACATTTTTCTGCTGAGGACAGGGTAGAGGGAGCTTAAGTTAACTTGCCCAAAGTCCCCCAAGTGAGTATCAGGACTAGAATTCAAATCCAGGACTGTCTGACTCCAAAGTTCATATTCTTTCTTCTGCATCTGTCACCTCTGGTGCAGGTCCCCTGTGCCCTCCGTTCATAAAGTCCCCTTGTCCTCCTGCTCTGCACCCTGGCACTCCAGCACAGAGTTAGCATGTTTCTGGAAGAAAGTAAGAGCTAATTGGGGCTCATTCCAGAAGATACCTCCTCTAGAGTCATTCTTTAAACTGAAAGGTGGTGGCTACAGAGAAGGATTGTTGGATAAAACAAAGACATGAAGCAACAGTTTTCTTGAAAGACAGTGGTCTATGTCTGTAAGAAAGTATGAAGAACAAGTCAATGAAAGCCTGAGCAATAGAAACAGGTGAGGGTGGTGTTGGTGATTTGGAAAACAGCCAACTTGATTTGGGTTTTACTCTAAAAACTAGTGAGGCATGTTCCCATTTTGGGTGTGTGTAGTAGCATTTTAACCATTGTGGTAAAGTGTTGTTCAGAATTTTTCTCTTTATCACCTTAGGTTCTCTCTAAACTCCACAGGACACTTTAGCCAAGGACCAAAGCCCATCTGCTCTGGGGAGAAATTGAGTAACATCTTAAGATAACATAGCTGAAGCACCTAGCCCAGTGCCTGGTTTCAATGTGGTGCTAAATAAATGCTAGTTCCTCCTTTGTTCCCTCAAGAGATATGAGGCTAACAGAATTTTGAGGGAAGTCTTTAATCTGAACTCTGTGGAATTGCAAAGTATGCTATATTTGTGATATCATAGAATGTTTGGATGGGAAGGGCCTGAGGGATCATCTTCAGGGCTAACTCTTTTTCTTTTCTTTTCTTTCTTTTTTATTAACTCATCTTTATTGTTGAATGTATTACAGATATTTCTCCCCATTGACCCCCCCATCTTTTTCTTTTTTGAGGTATAATTGACAAATAAAATAGTATGTATTTAAGGTGTATAGTGTGATGATTTGATATACATTGTGAAGTGATTATTGCAATGAAGCTAAATAGCATATCCATCACCTCACTTAGTTATCATTTGTGTGTATATGTGTTAAAAACATTTAAGATTTTTCTCTTAGCAAATTTAAAGTATACAATAGTCATTATTCTGCATATTAGACCACCAGAACTTATTCATCTTTTTTTTTTTTAAGAATTTTAGAGAGAGTGGAAGGGAGAGAGAGAAACATCAATGTGAGAGCAAACATCTATCGGCTGCCTCCCGCATGCCAACTACCAGAGATTGAACCCAAAACCTGGGCATGTGATCTGGCTGGGGATTGAACCAGGAATCTTTCAGTGCTTGGACTGACACCCAACCAACTGAGCCACACCGGCCAGGGCAAACTTATTCATCTTAAAACTGTAAGTTCATACCCTTTGACTGACATCTTCCCATTACTCCCACCCCTCAGCTTCAAGCAGCCACTCTGCTTCTGTGAGTTTAACTTTTTTAGGTTCCACATATAAGCGAGACCATATAGTATTTGTCTTTCTCTGTCTGGTTTATATCACTTAATATAATGTCCTCCAGTTTCATCCATATTATCACAAATGGCAGGATTTCCTTCTTACTCATAGCTTAATAATGTGTGTGTGTGTGTGTGTGTGTGTGTACACACATATTTGATGACAAGGATGTTTAAATAAACATAGAACTATCCAGGTGGCATCCTGTATTCATATTATTCCTCTCATTTTCAGACATCTAATCTCTAGCCCTGAATGGTGATCACTAACCTAGCAGCCCTGCAGACAGACAAAAGCAAATAAATTCTATAAGCCACTCTTATTAAGACAGAAATAGTGATTCCTATTTTAGAAAGTTTTCTAATAACAAAGGAAAGCCTTGATTAACTAGACAACTAAGTGAACCAGAATACACTCTATGGACCTAGCATACACTTTTCCTCTAGTTAGAGCTCAGTAAATGTGTGTTGTCCTAAGGATTAAGGTTGAGGCTGCGCTACTGAAAGATGCTTTCCGTCCTCCTTCAGTCCTGTCTGCCTTCCGTTTGCTCCCTGCTTTTCTTCACCATTCTCGCATGAAAAGAGATCTAGGGTGACAGGAAATGTGATGACTCATCTGCCATCAGACAAAGTCCTTTTGGTTTGTCCTTTTGGTTGGCCTCAGTCTCTGATATCGGAAACCGACGTGTTATGTTTGTGAATGTTTTTATTTTGCAGAAGACACATGGATTGCAGTGGGGCTCTGATGACTGAAAGGTCTGATGCATGTGGCTCTCTGATAGCTCTTTGTTTTCCACAAACCTTTGACTAGAAAAAGAAATCAAAGAGTGTTTTAATCATGCTGACCAGCAAGGGTCAGGGACGCCTTCACTTTGGTTTGTGTCTCTGGTTGTGTATATTCATACCTTTCTTTAAAGGTAGGTTTTGTTTCTGCTTTATCTTGTAGTCTCTTTTTAGTTACATATTTACCCTTCTTTTCTAGTTGTGCTTGATTGAGCAAAGAGATGAAATATTCTACAGGTAAACATGTAGAATGTCTGCATAGGAATTACTGTTGTTACAACTGTTCATCTATTTTTTATTGGTTAGGCTTAATCTGTAAACTGGGATATGGGGGGGCAGGATGGGGAGGACAATGAAACATTGAAAACTCTATTTTATTTTATTTTATTTTCCCAATTAAAATACGGTCATAATAATAATGATGCAGTTTTCTATCCATCTGTGCCTTGGATGTATTCAACTTATTTGTTCATATCTGTATTGAATATTTTCTCAAAACTGATCTCTTTGTTAGCTGATACTATTATTCAGTATATGAGTTCTTCCATTTTATAGGTAATCATCTTTGCTTTGGGAAACATGTTATATTACTATGCTGAAATGTGTTTTAAGAATAAGATCATTTATTTTAAAAGCTAAGACTTAGGGATGGACAGCTGCTGCTCTCCCTGAACAAACCACATTTCCGTGTGCAGTCGGCTCTGCAGGGCACGTGCTCTTTGAGACTCATGAGGGCTTCTCTAAAATGTCTCAAAGGAAAACATGTCTCCAGGTGGGGAAATGGGTAACGGAGATTTTTTAAATTGTTTCTTGTAGAAATATTTCTACCATTATTAATTATAGTGGCAAGAATGCTGCTTTACATTTAAAATTGTTCTTTCCTGCTAAAATGTCAGTGTTTCCAAATGCATTTGTCAAACAACTCGTCTTATTTATTATTATAACACTTGTCCTTTTGTTCATTTTTACCTAATGAGTTTTTCAGTTCCTTTAATTTTTTTTTTCCCTTGCAGGGTATAAATCCCTTTGGGGTAATTGGTAGAATAATATTTCAGGTGTCAAATTTGAAGTCTATAAGAGAAAAATGTAGAGGGGAATGAATTGAATGATGTCAAATGAAGGGAAGTAACCTACTTTTAATGCATTCTTAGAAAAATACAAAGAGATAGGCTTTCAACTAATGTGTAAAATTAAGCAACTAAAAATACTGTTGTTTAAGAACCAATTTCATATTCTTTTAAAAACAGTTTAAGTAATTTTGCCTTAAAAGCCTTGCATGCTCACAAATCTCCAAAATAATTGAATTTCAAAGTTGGTTTTAAAAAGCAGTATGGCTTGATGAAACCTTAATGATCCCACTAGTTGTTTCAGTTTGCTTGTGAAGTTTTCCCAACCAGGCACCTTGCTAGAGAAGAAACAGGTCAGCTGGATCAGTACTTTGACAAGAAAGGGCAGGACTATTCCTTAATTACCGGGTCAGTAAAATTGTGAGCTACATTCAGTGACATAAGCAAAAACTGGAGCTAGTATCTATCTCTCTACATTTGTGGTGGCTTAGATTTTAAAAAGTGCTTTTACTAACATTATTTCCTTTGCTATCTCACTTGTCCTGAAATGTAAGCATTACTGTTTTTATCTTGGACTCTTCACTGCCGTGTCACCCAGTGATGGAAGCTGCCAGAAACGCCCCGCCTGCCAGCATCCTCTCTGCTTCTCTAATTTTTCCCTGTGTTTGGCCATGCAGACTGCGCAGGCTGTGCGTCTGAGGAGAGACTCTTTCACAGACTGTTTTCTCATTATAACCAGTTCATCAGGCCCGTGGAAAATGTTTCTGACCCCATCACGGTGCATTTTGAAGTGGCCATCACGCAGCTGGCCAATGTGGTAAGTGCCTCAAGGAGCCCCGACTCTGGGAGGGTCAGAGCAGTTCCCAAACCTTGCTCCACTTACTGCACGCGGTAAATAGGTAAATGTGGGAATCTGAAAAATACGAATAGACAAAAATCTGCTTGGCTGCTGGCCCTTCGCAGCCGCCCCTGTGTGGGGGAGACACTTTCCCCACTGATGCTACAACGACTCGCATTAAGGCAGGATTGTTTTCTGGCAGTGCTTTGAGAGCCAGTTTATGAAACAAAGAGGTGAAGGGGAAGTGGAAGGGGGAAGACAACGAGAGCTAACTTCACTGTGCACCTGTTATGCCCAGACACCGTCTGCACTGTGGCTGTCTGCTGCATTTGACGGCTGAGCGGCCAGCAGCCCAGTGAGCGGCTTGCCCCGAGCTCATGCAGTTACGGTGGGACTGGATGTGAACCAGCCCTGTTTAACTCCAAAGCTCACACTCTTTTTACTCCATACCAAAAACTGCTTTAAGACTTCTATGTTACATAAGAAAGAAAAAAATCATCTTCTTTGTTATAGGGCTCCATCCAGACCTGAAAAAACAGATGGGAATTTGGAGTTCTTATTTTAATTTATTGCTACCATATTCGAGGGCAAATAGGACTAGAGTCCTTTCTTTTTTTTTTTTTTTTATCCTCACCCGAGGACATTTTTGCACTTATCTTCAGACAGAGTGGGAAGGAGAGAGGGGAGGAGAGAGAGAGAGAGAAACATCGGCGTGAGAGAGACACATCTAGTGGTTGCCACCCACACAACCCCAACCAGGGCCGGGGACAAACTGCAACCGAGGTACGTGCCCTTAGTGGGAACCGAACCCGGGACTCTCTGGTCCACAGGCTGACACTCTAACCACTGAGCCAAACCGGCCAGGGCCTAGAGTCCTTTCTTTTGATTAATCTTTATGCCTTAGTTGCAGGGAAAGGAAGTCGCGGGGATTGGTATTCTAACATAGAGGTGGATTCTGGGCTCCAAGTATGGGACAAGGGAAGGTCTGGCCTGAGGCTCAGGATTTGACCAAACTGGAGGAATAAGCAGGGTCAGGAAGTAAGGGAAGTTTGAAGCACCTCCAGAGAAGGATATTAGAGAGAGTTTCTGAGACAAAGTGAGCAGAAGGAGGAATCCGCTTTCGTATCAGTCCCAGCCATGGATGGGGAAGGGGCCCTCCTTCCTTCTCGACTAGGAACAGTGGTGTCTCTCTAGGTACACCTGGGGAAAGACCTTAATTACAGATGTGAAGCAAGGCCCACCTTGTTTCTTCAACGCATGCTTCCCTGTGGACTAGGCTGACCCTGGCGTGGTCCTCTAGCTTCTGGCCCAGGTGGGAAGTATATATATACCGGATTGAAAGAAAGAAAAAAATAGATGTTAACTCTCACCTAAATGGGCCCACTCATTCTTTTAATAAATTTTTATTTAGTACCTATTCTGACCCCTCTCCTTTTCCCCCCTCCCCCATATAGGTGACCAGCTTAGTACTGGTCACCTATTGGGCTGGGAGCCATATTTGTATGGATTGGGTTCTTATGAATGACAAGCCGAACTGAGTTCCACCTAAAGTCTGTGAGGAAGCCCACCTCAGTGTTCAGCCTCACGTCAAATCTCTGACTGATCGGCCCAGGACCTTTCAGGACATTTTCCTGAAGATGGTGGGTGGTGGACTGCTGAGTAGAGATTTTGACATTGCATTTGGCTACTGTCAGAGATTTAACAACAAACTACAGCTTCAATAAAACACATTTCTTTCTTTCTTATGTAACAGAAACCTAAAGGTTAACAGTTCAGGAGGTGACTCCATAGTGTCAGCAGTTGCCCCACCATGTTCCGTTGCCCAGGTTATGCAGCTCCAGGGGATGTCAGTCACATGGGCTATGATGCTAACAGCATGCACCATACATGGTAACAGTGACCGACGTTCTTTCTCTTTCGATTTCACCATCCTTAGCATGTCCTTTCTTCCTTCAGTGTTGCCTCGTGGTCCAAGACATTAATTCTTCTTTATATGTTTGGTAGAATTCTCCAGGGAAAACTACTCGGACTAGAGATTTCTTTTCTAGGAGCTTTTAAATGATAAATTTATTATTTTTATATCTATAGGTTAAAAATAGATCATCTATTTTATCTTCTTTGAATTTGGATAGTTTGTGGCTTTTGAGGAATTAGTCTTTCTTTTAAGCTGTCAAGGGTATGACTAAGTTGTTGTTAGTACTGTATTCTCTATTCTTTTTTTTTATTTTTTTTTATCCTTACCCGAGGACATTTTTCCATTTTTTGTACAGATAGAGTGGGAGGGAGAAAGAGGAAGAGAGAGAGAGAGAGAGAAACATCGATGTGAAAGGGACACATCGAGTGGCTGCCACCCGCACGACCAACCAGGGCCGGGGACAAACTGCAACCGAGGTACGTGCCCTTAGTGGGAACCGAACCTGGGTCTCTCCGGACCGCAGGCTGACACTCTAACCACTGAGCCAAACCGGCCAGGGCAAGAATCAGCTTTTTTTTTCTTAAAAAAAATTTTTTTTTTAATTTTATTTTTGTTACAGATGTTTCTCCTTTTTTACCCATTGACACCTTTCTCCCCATCCCCCCCGCCTCGTCCCCAGCTTTGTTGTCCATGTCCATTGGTTATGCATACCTGCATATAAATTCTGTGGTTTATCTCTTCCCACCCCCGACCACCTCCTCTTCTGAGGGTTGTCAGTCTGTACCCTACTTTCATCTTTCTGGGTCTACCCTATTCCTCAGACTATTATATTCATTATATTCCATATATAAGTGAGATCATGTGCTTGGCTTGTTTCACTTAGGATACTACTTTCCAGGTCCCTCCATGTGGTCTCAAAGGATAAGAGATCTTTCTTTCTTACCGCTGCATAGTACTCCATTGCGTATATGTACCACTGCTTTTTTATCCATTCATCTACTGATGGACACTTGGGCTGTTTCCAGATCTTAGCTATTGTAAATAGTGCTGCTATGAACATGGGGGTATATATATTCTTTCTGATTGGTGTTTCAGGCTTCTTGGGGTATATTCCTAGAAGTGGGATCACTGGGTCAAATGGAAGTTCAATTTTTAATTTTTTGAGGTAACACCATATTGTTTTCCATAGTGGCTGCACCAGTCTGCATTCCCACCAGCAGTGCACTAGAGTCCCCTTTTCTCTACAACCTCACCAACACTTGTTTGATGATTTGTTGATGGCGGCCATTCTGACAGGTGTGAGGTGATACCTCATTGTTGTTTTAATTTGCATCTCTCTGATGACTAGTGATGTTGAGCATTTCTTCATATGTCTCTTGGCCATTTGTATGTCCTGTTTGGAGAGGTGTCTATTCAGCTCCTCTGCCCATTTTTTAATTGGGTTCTTTGTCTTCCTTTTGTTGAGTTGTATGAGCACTCTCTATATATTGGAAATTAACCCCTTATCTGATGTATCATTGGCAATGATGTTCTCCCATACAGTGAGTTGCCTTTTCATTTTGATGGTTGTTTCTTTTGCTGTGCAGAAGCTTTTTAGTTTGATGTAGTCCCATGTGTTCATTTTTTTCCTTTGTTTCTGTTGCCTTAGGTGATGTATCAGTGAAAATTCTGCTGCGTATGATGTCCAAAATTTTGTTGCCTACATTTTCTTCTAGAATTTTTATGGATTCACGGGTTACATTTAAGTCTTTTATCCATTTTGAGTTTATTTTTGTGTATGGTGTAAGTTGATGGTCTAGTTTCATTTTTTTGCATGTAGCTGTCCAGTTTTCCCAACACTATTTATTAAAGAGGCTGTCTTTACTCCACTGTATGCTCCTGCCTCCTTTGTCAAATATTAATTGAGCATATTGCCTTGGGTCCATTTCTGGGTTCTCTGTTCTGTTCCACTGGTCTATATGCCTGTTCTTGTGTCAGTACCAGGCTGTTTTGATTACAGTCACTTTGTAGTATAACCTGATATCTGGTATTGTGATCCCACCTACTTTGTCCTTCTTTTTCAAAATTGCTGTGGCTATTCGAGGTCTTTTTTGGTTCCATATGAACTTTTGAAGTATTTGTTCTAGTTCTGTGAAATATGTTGTTGGTATTTTGATGGGGATTGCATTGAATGTATAGATTGCTTTGGGTAGTATGGACATTTTAATGATGTTAATTCTTCCAATCCATGAACAAGGTATGTGCTTCCACTTTTTTATATCTTCCTCTATTTCTTTTTTCAATGTCCTGTAGTTTTCTGAGAATAGGTTCTTTTTTTTTTAATTTTTTTTTTTATCCTCACCCGAGGATATTTTTCCATTTTTTGTACAGATAGAGTGGGAGGGAGAGAGAGAGAGAAACATCGACGTGAAGGGACACATCGAGTGGCTGCCACCCGCACGACCAACCAGGGCCGGGGACAAACTGCAACCGAAGTACGTGCCCCCAGCGGGAACCGAACCCGGGTCTCTCCGGACCGCAGGCCGACGCTCTAACCGCTGAGCCAAACTGGCCAGGGCTGAGAATAGGTTCTTTATTTCTTTGGTTAAGTTTATTCCTAGGTATCTTAATTTTTTTGCCACGATGGTAAATGGGATTGTTTTTTTCAGTTTCTCTTTCTGTGAGTTCATCATTGGTGTATAAGAATGCCGTCAAGCCCTGGCCAGTTTGGCTCAGTGGTTAGAGCGTCGGCCTGCGGTCCGGAGAGACCCGGGTTCGGTTCCCGCTAAGGGCACGTACTTCGGTTGCAGTTTGTCCCCGGCCCTGGTTGGTCGTGCGGGTGGCAGCCACTCGATGTGTCCCTTCACGTCGACGTTTCTCTCTCTCTCTCCCTTCCTCTCTCTCCCTCCTACTCTACCTGAACAAAAAATGGAAAAATGTCCTCGGGTGAGGATAAAAAAAAAAAATACTATACATTTTTTTCTCAGCATTGTTTTTTAGCTATTTTCTTCATATTTTGATATGTTTTCATTTTATTCATTTTTATGTATTTAAAAGTTTTTTTTCCTTTGAGATATCCTCTTTGATCCATGCATTATTTAAAAGTGAGTTGTTTAATATTCATGGATTTAGAGGTTTTCCCATGTTTTTATTTTTATTGCTCACCCAAGGATATTTTTCCATTTATCATTAGATAGAGTGGGAGGGAGGGAGAAAGAGAGAGATGGAGAGAAACATCGATGTGATAGAGGCACATTGTCTGGTTGCCTCCCAAGAGACCTGATCAGGGCTGGGGACAAACCGCAACCGAGATATAGGCCCTTGATCAGAATTGAACCTGCAGCTCATTGGTCCATGGGCCAATGCTCTAACCACTATGCAAAACTGGCCAGGGCTTTTCCCATGTCTTTTTTGCTACTGATTTCTATACTTGGTCTTAGCCAAGATGCCGAGAAGCAATTGTTATTGATTTCTAGTTTGATTCCATTATGGTCAGAAAACACACTGCATTATTTCAATTATTTTAAATTTGTTGAGGTTTGTATTATGGCACATGGCATGGGAAAAATGTGTCTGCTGCTGTTTTGAGTAGAGTGTTCTATATACGTCAATTAAGTCTTATGGTTGATTATGTTTTCTGATCTTCTATATTTTTACTGATTTTCTAGTACTGTTGGCTGCTGAGAGGGAGTATTGAAGTCTCCAGCTGTAATTGGGGACTTGTCTGTTTCTTCTTTCAGTTCTATCAGTTTTTATTTAATGTCTTTTGAGACTCTGTTGTTTGATGTGTGTACAGTTAGGATCATTATATCTTCCTGGTGGACTAATCCTTCTATCATTATGTAATGTTCCTCTTTGTCTTTAGTAATTTTTTTTCCTCTTCAGAAGTAAGACTTCAGCCTACTTTTCCAGATATTAATATAACCGTTCTTATTGATGTGCTGAAGGCTATCTGTTCTCATGTGAGGCACCAGAAGTCCCTGTGGACCATATTCATTGTTGTCACTGAGCTGCGGTGAGCTCTGGGGATGGCTCTGTGATGCAGTACAGCCAGGAGTACAGCCAGGATGCACAGTCACCAACTTCCTTCTATAAGGTTCTAGGCCCTCTGTTGCTATCTGAGCTACCAGGCTGGCCTTAGAGCAACAGATATCTCTACATAGAAGTGTGTTTGCTGCTATACAGAATGATTTGACCACAGAGTTGTCTGAGTGGACAATCTTTTTGTGTAGGAATATGTCCACACTTTCCCCCACCCCCACAGATCCAGGACAAAGCCCCTGTTCAGTACTTTTGATGGCCTTGCATATCTGAAATGACAAAGGCCTTATAGAATGTAGTATACTTGGCACTACATTCTCCACAGATCTGGAAGCTAATTCATTTGAAACTATAACTCAAATTCTTTAATGCAGGTGGGGGGGTCATTAATTTATTTTCCCAAGAAAGAGATACGGGGTAATGGTACCAGGAATGTAGAGTGGTATTGTGGGTCTCTGGCGTCCTCTTGCTGGACTGTCTGATGACAGTGCCCACAGCCTTTGGTGTGGTCTGGAATTGGATGTAGAGCAGCACTTGGTCTGGCAAGGTCCATAAAGTTGGTAAACACCTCTGAGGTGTCCATAGCACATGGAGCTTCACCTGGCTGAGGAAGTGTAAGTGGGAAGACAGGGTTAATATTAAGAAAATATAACACCTGATTTTATTTCTCTGAACACAGTGTACTCGTTTTCTGAACATAGTGTACCAATGCACAGAGAGGAAGCAGTCTTCGGAAGATGCTTATGACAAGTTACCTCTGAGACCTTTCTGGATTGCAGAGCTAGTCCATTTTTGATTGACAGTCAATAGATTTATTAACATGGCCTCTGCTGAAATCTGTAGGTCACAAAGTGACCCTCTTATGAGCAGAAGGCACAAACTTTAGGTTTGGGTAATTGTAAAACCATGATCTACTTGACCAATGGATGGTTCATTTCTTTGCTTTCCCTGACCAATAGGAAACCATGAACTTTTTTTTTTTTAATTTAATTTAATTTAATTTTATCCTCACCCGAGGACATTTTTTTATTTTTTATTCAGATAGAGTGGGGAGGGAGAGAGAGAGAGAAAGAAACATCGATGTGAAAGTGACACATCGAGTGGTTGCCACCCGCACAACCCAACCAGGGCCGGGGACAAACTGCAACCAAGGTACATGCCCTTAGCAGGAACCGAACCCGGGTCTCTCTGGACCGGAGGCCGACACTCTAACTGCTGAGCTAAATCGGCCAGGGTGGAAACCATGAACTTTTTTTGACCTTTTAAACTCCTAGAGTTTACCATGATTTGACACAAACCCATTCGTAGAAGGAAACTTGGCAAGGTCTCCAGTTAGAGTTTTTCAGGGGAGTTGGAGAACTGCAGAGCAGCTCAGTGAACCAGAGCAAGCTGGTGTCTGAGGTCTGGCCACAGCTATTGCAGCCACAGTTGAGCTCATTTACTCTGGAGGGTGCTCGTGTGCCTTGGGAAGCAAGGATGGGAAGTTTTGGAAACCTACTGGGTAACCATCATTAAACCTTAAGCTGTTGTGTTGCGAGGCTGCTAAGGCTCTGGATGTGTCTTCAGTAGCTTTTCCACTGAGATTTGGTGGCTGCTTATGAATACATTATATTTGGAATATCAGCCTGCAAAGCTTTTCTTCCAGATAACCCCATGATTCTCTTCAGGTCATTTAGATCCCTGCTTAAACTGCTTTCTCAGAGAAGCCTTCTTAGTTCATCCTGCCTAAAACAGATGTGTGTTCACATGTGTGTGTGTGCATGCATGTGTATGTCTGCACACATACACACACTACTCCATCCATTTTTATTTTTCTTCGTAAGACCTATCACTATCTTACAATGTATTATATATCTATTATTGATTTTCTATCTCCCCAACTAACAGCTAAGACACATGAAGGTGAGGATTTTTTCCATCTTGTTTACTTCTGTAGTCATAGCATTTATAGAGCACAGAGTAGGTACTCAATAAATATTTGTGTAATGAATGATTGAAACCATCAGCAATGGCTTGGGTGGGAGTGGCAGGTTCCAACTGGAAAACTTCATGGTGAGCCGAAACTGACATTTCAAGGGACAATCGGCCTCCAGGCTCAGAGCCGGTAGAGTGCCGAAGCACTATTGAGGAAGGGAGGTGTTTAGGAAATGAAGAAGAAGACCACAAAAACAATGAACCAGGTACAGATACCTATCATCATTTGTGGTATTTTCCCTCCCTCCTTCCCACATTCGCTCTTCTCTCCCTCTTTCCTTTCATGGGCTCAGAAACCTTTACGGGCTACGCTGATCAGAAAGCCTTCGCAGAAGTGGTGAGGCTTAAATCACATATGAAAGACAGTCTTTAAGCCACATGTTCTTTCGAAGTCAACAGGGTTGTGACCTGATGTGGAATATCATATATCTGGTTGCTTTTTATAAGTTGCCTTTTCAGTCTTCTTTGTTTCCCTCTATTAGCATTAATAACTCAGATTTGGCTCTTTTTTGTAGTAATTCTTGTTCTAAGATCTACCTCTATTAGCAATACATTTGAGGCTAAAAATATTGTTTCTTCTTCCCAGGATGAAGTAAACCAGATCATGGAAACCAATCTGTGGCTACGTCATGTATGTGTCTACATCACATGTCTTCTTTGACCTGTGTTACACATGTGTCAGCCTAACAATACCTAATGGATAAAATCCACTAGTATTCCCTCTTTCCATCTCCAGCTTATGATAGAGCATAAAATATTATCTATCCTCAAAGCCTAAACTTTAGCTCTGGTAGCAGCTGGCTTGATGAAGCTCCACAGGTGCAGAAAAATAGTGACAGAGTTATCTGAAACACGGGGACCCTGTCCTTCTGGTTTCTGCTCTCAACTCTTCTGTTTTTATCTGTAACTTGAGCTTCAGAGCCAGGTGTCTGCCCACTATTTGATCCTGATCAACTAATCCTGGAGAAGTCAGTAGCTGAGCATGGGAGAATGTGGGTTAAAGTCGCACCAGCTGGTTTGATGTTATATCATTTTCCTTTTTTCTTGTCTTAATATTTTTAAAAAAATTATTTTTATTAATTTATTTTTGTTACAGATGTTTCTCCTTTTTCCCCCGTTGACACCCTCCTCCCAACCCCTCCTCCCAGCCCTGTTCCCCAGCTTTGTTGTCTATGTTCATTGGTTACACATACATGCATAGTTCTGTAGTTTATTTATCTCCCTCCCTCATCCCCTCTTCTGAGGTTTGTCAGTCTGTACCCTATGTCTATGTCTCTGGGTTTATTTCATTCATCAGTTTGTTTTGTTCATTATATTCCACAAATAAGTGAGATCATGTGATATTTGTCTTTCTCTGCTTGGCTTGTTTCACTTAGCATAATACTCTCCAGGTCCCTCCAGGTCTTAATCTTTTACTCAGATTTTGTACAAACTCATCATCGTACACTTGAATAACATTTTTAGTATTAGAAATGAGTTGTACTCCAATGTGAATATAGTCCATGGAACACAGAAATTGAGCCTATAACCTTGACCAGATAATTGATAATCAATAGGTAACTATCTAATAGCTATTAGATAATTTATATTTTCTCAAATCAGCTCAGCTAACTATCCCCCTATTCCCATGAATTTAGTACTCCAACTTTTGATAGAACCCAATGTACTCTTTAATTAAGAACAAACGTAGAATTAACATTGGAAGACATTTGTTAAGAAATTTTTTTAAAGCTGACTTCTACTTCCTTTAGATCTGGAATGATTATAAATTACGCTGGGACCCATTGGAATTTGATGGCATTGAGACTATTCGTGTTCCTGCAGATAAGATCTGGAAGCCTGACATTGTTCTCTATAACAAGTATGGGAGTCTGACAGCAGTAGTCTCTTTCCAAAGTTGCCTTTGGTACATGCTGATCCATAGCAAAGGGGATGTAACTAATGGTGTCTGATTACCTTGCAGTGCTGTTGGTGACTTCCAAGTTGAAGGCAAGACAAAAGCTCTTCTAAAATATGATGGCATGATAACCTGGACCCCACCAGCTATTTTTAAGAGTTCCTGTCCTATGGATATCACTTTTTTCCCTTTTGATCATCAGAATTGTTCCCTGAAATTTGGTTCCTGGACATATGACAAAGCTGAAATTGATCTTCTAATCATTGGCTCTAAAGTGGATATGAATGATTTTTGGGAAAATAGTGAATGGGAAATTGTTGATGCTTCTGGCTATAAGCATGACATAAAATACAACTGTTGCGAAGAGATATACACAGATATAACCTATTCTTTTTACATTAGAAGACTGCCGATGTTTTACACTATTAATCTGATTATCCCCTGTCTCTTTATTTCATTTCTCACCGTGTTGGTCTTTTACCTTCCTTCTGACTGTGGTGAAAAAGTGACACTTTGCATTTCAGTTCTGCTTTCTCTGACTGTGTTTTTGCTGGTAATCACAGAAACCATCCCGTCCACGTCTCTTGTGATCCCACTGGTGGGTGAGTACCTACTGTTCACCATGATCTTTGTCACCTTGTCCATCGCGGTGACTGTGTTTGTGTTGAACATACACTATCGCACCCCAACAACACACACCATGCCTAAGTGGGTGAAAATGGTTTTCCTCCAGCTGTTACCCCAGATCCTGATGATGAAGAGACCTCTGGACAAGATGAAAAAGACAAATTCTGATAAAAAACCTAAAAGCATGTCCAGCAGGCCTACCAAAGTGAAGTGTGATAGTCGCAGGGAACCCAGACTTCTTAAAGAAGGCTGCCACTGCCATAAATCACACCAGCGTGCCACCAGCAAGAGAAGATTAAGTCATCGGCCTTTACAATGGATGACGGAAAATTCGGAGCACTCACCTGAAGTTGAAGATGTGATTAATAGCGTTCAATTCATAGCAGAAAACATGAAGAACCAAAATAAAACAAAAGAGGTAAATGCATGTCTTCTCTACCCTGTCCACCTGCAGCAGGCCTAGAGGCACCTTATGGACAGGGTCAGATCTTCAGAGTGAGTTCAATTTACAAGAGGGTCAGGCAGCATTACTCTAAGACCCAGTTCTGTTATCACGCAGTTATGGGTGGACTGACCTGGGATCAGGTAAGCCCAGAGCAAATCTCCACTTCCAGCAACGTTAACTCAAGTGAAATCTGGTTAAAATAAACATTCAGGGCCACCTTGGTTGATAAAACCAAGAGCTCCTCCACTAGAAACAGTGGCAGAAAAGGGGTGGAGAGGGGAAAGCTGCCCACGGAGGGGAAGGAGGAATGATGTGGAGCAGATTGCAATCTGAGGGCGGAGGGAGGAAGGTGGAATAACTCCTCCTCAGCTCCAATCCTGCTGTTCTACTTCAGAGGGATGTAGGTGCTAATTGAATGAGCCTCAGGGCTACTTTTAGCACCAACATATTCTGTTCCTGCTGCCCAGAGTCTATAGTAGCATGGGTCTCCTCCATCCTCCAAAGGGAGAACTCAAGAAAATCACACCAACTTTTCATACCATGAGGATGACTAGCTGAGGGCATCTGAAAACCCATGCCGGGTGTCTGGTTTTGACCTCATACTGCAGTTGCTGGCATCTGTATCTCCTAGTGAAAGGATATCTCAGGACCTAAAATCTTGTCTTCCCTGTTGGTACAGGGCAAGATACTGTGACTTCATGTCACTCAGATGGGGAGTGGGGGTGCCTCACAGGACAAATGAGCCCGGAACTCCCCTTCATGGTGACACCTTCATAAAATCTAGGAGAGAGTTGCTGTTGACTTAATCACCACCAGGTAGGGCTCTCAAGACACCGATAGGGAGATTTTGGCAGAAGTTAGGAGGTCAAAAACTGGAAGGAATTTAGAAATACAACGGTCTCTCCATAATCAGCATGACTTTGAGGTTTAGAGGGCTTCCTGTTCCTAATAAGGGGGTCCTCCATCATGCCACATGCCCTACAATCCCTGCCTCAAACCTATTTCCCAGACTTGCTAAGGGGTCAGCTACCCACTGGTGCCTGTGACACGAACTGCACTTTCTAAGCAGCTATTTCTTGGGGGTGCTTCTTGCAGTCAGGAAAGGTCCTTTGTGACCTATGGAATCCTGGCTTATTGAGACCTTCTGCATACACTGGAGCCAGCTGCACAAGGCACGAACGGGGAACGTGTATCCACCCTCTTCAGACAAAACAAAAGCTCTTCTCTGTACTCCATAGGAGACATGGGTTAACCAAAATAATACCAACATTTGCTTTAAAAATTGCCGAGAGCATCTTCTTTGAAAAGGAAGTCTTATTTATGAGACAGCACCTGGCTTTGACTGATTTGACTTTTTGTTTGGTTTTCAGGTAGAAGATGACTGGAAATATGTGGCCATGGTGGTGGACAGAGTATTTCTTTGGATATTTATAATCGTCTGTGTGTTTGGAACTGCAGGACTATTTCTACAGCCACTACTGGGGAACACAGGAAAATCTTAAGGATTTTATCTAGTGAAATTTACAGATGGTGTATTCGTTCTGTGTTCCCTACCATAAAGAAAGGGACATAAAGCTTCCCATCTACTGAAGTTGATGACTAGATGGAAAAAGAGGAATTGAATGAAAATTAGGAGTCTGGATGCCTTCCTTTGTAGCACAGAGGAATGCTTGAGATTTGCTACAACGCTAGAGCCCAGAGCTGGCAGCCCCCACAGGCTTCTCTTGTCTGGACATGTTCAGCTCCCAGGAGCATAATAACCATAATACAGCAAACCATGTAATCAACATCAAACCACACTAAAAAGGAGTTCTGTTGTCCCTCCAGAATCTGCTGCTGATCAGTAGAAGGACACATGCCAGACACGAAATTCTAGAACATGGACCTAGCTGACCTTTGCAATGCTCATGAACTGTTGTAGGCTTGCTTTCTTGTACATGTCTCCATGATGTAGCTCACACCCAGCATTATTTGATACATTAATTGGCAAAAAGTAAGCACAGGTAGTTGGAGTCAATCTCAGCAGGCTATGCTTAAGTAGCATTCATCTGGCAAGAAACTTGAGTGTTGTTAACCCAGCACTGTGCTAGGCATTGCCAAAGTAACAGAAATAGGTTGTCCTCAAGTAGTTGCAGCTTTTTAGGGAAAGTCATAAACACAAAGATGTCCAGGACCTCATGTCACCTGGGGAATGTAACTAGAGCAATCAAAATAGTAGAACATGGTGTTGTGTGGCCAGGCAAACCCAACGCGACCTTTGTTGTTCTTTCTTGTTGACAATTTCCATTTGTTCATTAGAGCTGAGACTAAAAGTAAAATAATTTCCTCTATCAGAAAGTGTGATCTTGTACCTTTTGGAACAATTTCTCTTCTGAGAGGGAGCCCTTTGGAAATTCTGTTTTATTCCACTCGAATTTATTATCTTCTTATTTGCTGTGTAAACATTATCCTAACAATTTATTAAAGCAGCAAAAAATAAATCTTCTCTAACAAAGGAACTACTTTTATTTTTGCCTTTTCCCTTCTAGTTCTTGCCTATATGCACATATAATTTTTTACACTTCAATTTTACCTTGCAATTTTGTATTTTTCTGGTTTCTCAAAACATCATATTAGCACATTTCTCCATGATGATACATGGTCTTGACATATAATTTTTAAGATTGCATAATCTCTGTTGTGTTGATTCACCATGACTTCTAGTACCTTATGTTAATTCTTCCTTGTCTCTTTCATACTGGAGCAGGAGGTACTGTGTGGTATGCCCGGCAGAGGCCTTGGATTTGAATTACTCTGTTCTAAAGTATTTTTACTCCCTCTCATATTTGTGATTGAAGTACCTGTATTTTATCTTTCTGTCTTTACATTGGATTGCTGTTACTTGATACATTTTTTTGTTTTACTATCAAACCAATTCAATATTTAATTTTATTTTAAAAAGTTTTAATGGTGGTAAAATACATAAAGCATACATTTATCATCTTAACTATTTTTAAGTTTACAGTTCAGTAGTATTAAAAACATTCACATTATTGTGCAACCATCATCACCTTTCATCCACAGAACCCTTTCATCTCGTGAAATTGGAACTGCTCTCATTAAGCAACAGCTCTGCATGCTTCCCTCCACCCGGCACTGGCAACCACCTTGCCACTTTGTCTCTACTAATTTGACTACTTTAGGTATCTTATGTAAGTGGATTAATACAGCATTTCTCTTTTTATAATTGGCACACTTCACTTAGCATAATGTCTTCAAGTTGCAGCATGTCAAAGTGTATTTGCTTTTTAAGGCTGAATAATATTCCAGTGTGTGTGTGTGTGTGTGTGTGTGTGTGTACAATGTTTTATTTATTCATTCATTTGTCAATGGCCACTTAGGTTAAGTTGGTTCCACCTTTTGGCTTTTGTGAATAATGCTGCTATGACCACAAGTGTACAAATAACTCTTTGAGTCCTTGCTTTCAATTCTTTTGAATATATACCTAGAGGTGGAATTGCTGGGTATTATTGTAATTCTACTTTAAATTTTTTAAGAAATGCCATATTGTTTTCCACAGTGACTGTACCATTTTATTTTATTTTATTATTTTTTATCCTCACCCAAGGACATTTTTCCATTTTTTGTTCAGATAGAATGGGAGGGAGAGAGAGAGAGAAGCATCGGCATGAAAGGGACACATCGAGTGATTGCCACCTGCACAACCCAACGAGGGCCAGAGACTGTACCATTTTATATTCCCACTCACAATGCACAAGGATTCCATGTTCTTCTTATCCTTACCAACACTGTTGAACAAATTCCACCATGTTAGTCAGGGCAAAGTCGGGTGGAGGGAGGTGCAAGAGGTGGGAGAAGGAAGGTGTAGACTTTGAGAACCTGGAGGCACCATCTGAGGGCCTAGAGAGCATATACTTAGGATGTTTTTACCCAGCCCAACCTTCCCCAAGGTCTAGGGTGTGCCTCTTGTGTGTAGTGGGCAGTAAGGATAGGAACACAATATCTGAACATGGTCTCTTGTCCATCCCCCCTCTTGACTTTGGAACTATCATGTGAATCCTGCAGCAGAACCAGCCACTCTGAACTGGAGATGCTCTTATACCCCTTTTACATACATGCACACATGTGCACACACATACACACCTACACACTAATTCCAGTTGGTGTTTGGAAAAGTCTAAAAGGGCAGTTTTGGTTGTCACAATGACTGGGGATGCTATGTAGGGCCTGGGGGTAGGGATGCTAAACATCCTGTAATTTGTGGAAAAGACCAATGTAGGAATTTCTCTATCAAACTGCCCATAAGCCACCTTGTGAAAAATTAGAACATTTTTGAAGGTATTAGTAGGGAGTGCAGGCCTGTGAAGGCATATGCTTAGCAGGCTTTTTGAAGGGCAACCACACACCCTCACCGGGTACTTCTTGGTGGCAGGAGCATCCGTCCTGCTGGAGAAATGGTAAGGCTGATTCTTCCCTACTCTTTAGTCTTCTTAGGGTAGAATAGAGGACCTTCATCTATAATAGGTATGTTCAGAAGGCTGCCTAAATTAATCTTCACAACTTACAATCTTCTTTCTATGATCTCCCTTTGGATGATGCAATTCTTCTGCCTGCTTGGATCTCCTCTTGTTGCCCAAAGCTGGAGCCATCTCTGAGCCTTCAGGGCCATGTCTGTCCACCACAACAGGCCAGGTTGCCTCGCCCCACAGAGCTTAGTCTGCCTGGAGGGGTGACAATGGACATCTGTGGATATACTGCTGCTCTTGGCTACTTTTCCCAAACCTGAGATTGCCCATGAACCAAAGAAAGCATGTTCCTTTTACTTTCACTATTATTTTATTGACATGCTGAACAGAAAGTCTTAATACAAAGAAGGAACATATGTCAGGTTAAACATAAATGATAGTCACCATGGCTATTCATTAAATGAATTCACTTTAATACATAATAGCAGGTGCTTCCAAGAAAGAATTATGACACAACCAGAAAGGTCTCTCCCAGGATAAATATATTACTCTGAAAATTACAGTGTTCTCATGTAGTGGGTTAGAGACCGCCTCTAAAAGGCCTAAGGTAAGAGTCTTTATAACAGCTGTGTGTGATGAACACAGGCTATACCACAGAATAGGCGGAGAAATCAGGCTGTCGTCATCTTAACCCAGGGTTTAGTCTTAACACGAATGATTAGAAAACCAGATAGTATGTCTCCTTGTACAGTAAAACGTAAACTGCGCATCATTGTCTATGATGTACAGTGTCAAAAATAGTCAACCAGAATTTTACTTATGACTTCCAATTTGCAGGAAATACTGGAGACTGAGGAACAAGTTAAAAGACACTGGAAACCAACAACCAGACAAATCCAAAACATGAGTCATTCTTGGGGAAACTGATCTAGTCCTTTCAGCAAGTCAGTGGCAAGAAAGAAATTAAAATAGATATAAGAGGCATAACACTATGAGTTAAATCCTATTTTAGACAAGTTAGCTATAAATTTAGGCTGTTCTTGAGATAGGTAAACTTAAATATGAAATAATTAATTTTTCTAAGTATGATAATAATATCTTAAACACTTCTTTTTTTATTCCTCAAAGTTTTATTTGATTATTTTTATTTATTTATTTTTATCTTTACTGTTGAAAGTATAACAGACATTCTTCCCTTTTTCCCCCCCTGGGCCCCCTCCTCCCTGTTCCCACCCAATGTTTCTTTAAGGTACATACTGAAAATCATGCACAACACACACACACACACACACACACACACACACACACACACAGAGCTGGAAATATTGGGGGGCTGTGCAAGAGTACAAGTTTGTCTTTATTTTAGATGAATAACCCAATCTAAACTTGCTGGTACAGGTTTAATTAATCAACAAATATGAATTAAGCCTTGACCATGTATACAGCTCTATTAGATGTTGGTGGGAATATTACGGAAAGGTATGCTATGATATAGCTAAGGCAATAAAATTTACTTAATAAAATAATAGAGAACAATTACGTTCTAAACCATATAGCAGAGACCGAGAACACCACGGGCTTTCAGAGACTGGGAGACCATGTGTTCTGTGAAGCCTTCACGAGAAGGTGGAGTGGTAGCAAACATCTGAGGAATAAAAACAATTAGGACAGCTCTCTGTGTGCCCACACATGTGTGTGCCTGCACGTGTGTGCCTCAGCCTGTGTCCATGTGCATGTGTCTGCTCATGTGTGTGTGCATGTGTGTGCCCATACATGTGTCTGTTCCACATGCTCACATGTGTAATAGGGAGTTGTATGGGTCTTGCTGCGTCCACTTGTTGGAATTAGCTGGCAAAATTGCTCACAGAAGATTTTCCTCGCTATACATTTGAAATAAACATTTTTTTGCTTTAGAGTTCTCTTTTGTGGTTACTTTGTTAGGGTTATTGTGATCCATAAATATTTATCCTTTTCCATATTTAAAACTGGTATTCTCTCTCAGTTTAGCTGCAGCCAGGCATAAGCTGCACGCCTGTGTATAAATGTTTGACCTTTGCTGTACTCGCGCCTGGTCAGAAAGAGACTGGGCAAAGTGTTTCATGTGGTATTTTTCAAAACTTAAGACTGAATTCTAATCAAAATGTATTGTAATCTAATCAAGATTAGTATTGTAATTTATCTAGCAAACTAATGAGTTAAATAAAGTTAAGTAATGAGTTAAAGTCAATAGTGTTCAATAGGAAGAACAGTGATTTGCCCTTTGGTTTCACAATTCCGTCAGGGATTTTTTTTCTTTTTTATCCTCACCTGAGGATATTTTTCCATTTTTTGTACAGATAGAGTGGGAGGGAGAGAGAGGAAGGGAGAGAGAGAAAGAAACATCGATGTGAAGGGACACATCGAGTGGCTGCCACCTGCACGACCAACCAGGGCCGGGGACAAACTGCAACCGAAGTATGTGCCCTTAGCGGGAACCGAACCCGGGTCTCTCCGGACCGCAGGCCGACGCTCTAACCGCTGAGCCAAACTGGCCAGGGCCCGTCAGGGATTTCTGGCCTTGGATCCTTGATTTCATCACAATGTATCCCTGCAGATCCTGTCCTAAAGTAGTGACAAAGCAGATCACATTTCCCAAAGGAACAAAGTTATAATCAGAAGTTATGCGGTTTAAAAATTGTGAAAGCTCCAGAGTGGAAAAGGGTGTCATAGGTGAAGAGTCATAACCTCTTATTGACCAGAGAGGACAAATGACTCACCTAAGGTCCCACAGCTCACAGCTGGGAAATGGCTGGTCTAGAACTCAAGAGTCCTTGAGCCCTGGTTTCTACTTCACCATGTTGCCTCCCTTTTAAAAATCCAATAAAATGTGCAGAAAAGTAATGGATGTATAGATCATACAAGGAGCCCCAATATCCATAATGTGTGCATATAACACAACAAAATACAGTTCTGTGGTACAAAATTTTCTATCTATTGAAAACGAACACATTTACCA